AATATTTTCATGAAAGAGAAACCTAAATGATAAATGCAATGTTTTATAATATATATATATATCTTTTTAATTTTCAATTTAAAAAATAAAGTAATACATTTAAAAGAAAAAAAATCAACCTTACAAAGTCATATCCGTGCAATAAAGAGATTGAATACAAAAAGTGACTGAATGAAATATTCACTATTTTGACTTTTTAATTTGTTCCTAATTCTTCATTAATTAAATCTTGTGTTAATCCGTTTCAATAGCGACTGTTTACAAACCAATAACGTGTAAAAGTAAAGGGTATTCCATTCAAAATTTAAGTGTTTTTTAAAATTACTTTTTAATACTTTTTTTGCCTCATTACGTTTATGAAAATTAAAAACCGTTCATGGCCCTACCTTTGTTTTTTGAAGTAAACCGATGTTCCGTTTCCTCTCCACTGGACGTTCCTCTTGGGTTTTTTTTCCTTTTTTTCACTTTAAATTCAATGACGTCATTTTCGGGTTCAGCGCTTTGTTTGAAAAGTTCCAGTTTTTGTGCCGTAGTTTAAAAGAAGTTGCAACAATAGCAGCCGAGACTGCAGTTCACCTGACCTTATTTGGTACCTGGAGTCTGACAGGAACAGCAGAGACAAGCACCTGTGGGGCTCACGTCTGTCCCCGCAGGTGTGGCGTGGTACTGTTTGCATTACTTCACGCCGTTTCACAACAAACTCGTCTGCAAACGGACAGGTATTAATCGGATCCATGGTTTGACCTCTGGATTCAAACAGGAAGTTTAAGAAACATCTAAATGATTGCGAATCAAACAGTTAAGATGTTTACAACAAAGATACGCTATAATAAATATTCTGATTTGCAGTTTTTGTATGTCATTTAAAACGTCTTTTTATAACTTTGTAACTTGTTATTTACTTTAAACGAACCCTGATAAAGCTTCGTAGTCCTTGAAAGCTATTTCTGGCTACAGTAAATATGAATATATTTACACGGTTGTCCCAAGGTTTTTAGTATACTATACTTTTTGGACGCCAGATGGCAGCATTGGGGTAAAAAACTATTGTTGATACACAACAGTAAGTTCTGAGTAAGTTGTCATCTGTCAACAACCAGGTATTGTGGAATATTGTGTGAACTTGAACTTAAAAAGTGACCAAAGATCTCAGTCGGTCTTTGTATACACAGACCACATAGGTCACAGTCGGAATTAAATTAATTTATGTTTTTATACATTTTCCATTAATATGATTGTAAAAGAAATTGTCATTACGACGAATCAGCTTAGACGTTTAGATAAAACTTCAGCAATCCCTGTGGAGTACATTTCGGAAAAGTAAGTAAAGAACTATGGCCCGTACGGGGATCGAACCCGCGACCTTGGCGTTATTAGCACCACGCTCTAACCAACTGAGCTAACCGGCCCTATTTTCACGTCCTATTACTTGATAAAAAGAAAAAGAATTACACGTCCTATTACTTGATAAAAAGAAAAAGACAGATGCTGTGACAGATTGAGAAAAAAACAGCCAAAATATTCATAACATTTTCTAATAAAAATCCTTCTTCTAATTAGACTCCAGATACGAATCAAAATACTACATATTAATCTGATAATTAATTCCAAAAAACCACACCATTGTTTATTTGTGCAAAGACATAGAGACATAGTTTTATTTAAAATATACTGTGGTAATGTAAACAAATGCGAGATGAAAAACAAATCCGGAGAAAAATGCTATCAATTTCCTAAGTGGATTGGTCGGCGCTTTGATGTGGTTTGTCAAGGTAGTTAGCTAACTGATGAGTCATCCTTACCACACAGGCTGCAGAGCTGACATTCAAATTGAGAGTGTCGTCTGTGTTACGGGAATTTGTTTGCATTACAGTTATTGAGAGAAACAGGAGAGTGTTTATTCTGTAATTATATATGTCTGATTCTGAGAGCGGCATCAAATTATTTACCACACATTAACAAAACCACGGCCTACAGTCAGCAACAAGACTGGGAGTCTGCGGGACAGGGCCTCCAATCAGCTTTGATTAATGTAATGGTACTATAATAGACAGGTATGAAAAACATACCTCGCAGTTAACAAATTATAATTCTTAGGAAATTCTTTTGTTGTTTAAACTATAAAACAAAAGTAGCGACAGAAGTGTAAACGTCAGTCGGCTTATCAGAACGTAACAGTGGTTGATGCTAATCCAAAGAAACACATTTCTTTACAAGTACTCCATAAGGCTGCACTGTTTTGTTATGGATCTGAACAGGTAGGAGTGGCTTACAAGTACATGATTGTGGTGCAGGACACCAATGAGAAAAACTAACGACTTATTTTCACAAAAAGACTCAAAATTCACCACAAGGTATATTTTATTCATAGACCATCCACATCGAACAAAAATAAAAAGCATCACGACAACATTTTTCATAGTCAGAGAAAAATAGAGAGTTGAGTTTTATACAAGAAATCTAACAGGATCAGTTCAAAGCAAAAACAAAACAAAATAAAAATCCATTTACTACATCTAATAACGATTACAGTGGAAACAATAGACAGGAATAATAAACAAGCACTATATGTTGGAGAGTAATAATATAAGGGGAAGGATCTGCTCGCAAAACAATCCCTCTTGTGTAATTACTTAGATTAAGGGGTTTAAAACCCCATTCATATTAAAACTGCTGTGTTCACGGACAACCGTCTCAGATCGGTAGATGCCACTGATTCTGAAACAGTCCCGCGTCTGTGGTCAAACAATGGTCAAATCTCTTAGCGCTGCTGTTTTCCCGACTCCCTAACGTGTTGAACTTTAGCACCACTGGGCTAAGTGTAAGATCAAACGCCATCTTAGGGAAATAAGTACTATAAAAAGACAGAAAATATATATTTGTTCTTTCATATCCCCCCACCCACCCCTTTTGCCCCCACTGTGTCATTGTCTGGTGTTGCGGAACCAGAAGGAAATCGATCCACTTCCACCACAGTAGGAGGCTGTAAGCAAATAGGATAAAAGCCTGAGCTTCATTCTACCCAATCGCTCTGTCCCATAATACGCTATTCCTGTTCTTCTGCTCAATGAGACATTAACATTATAAAGGTTAATGGTGACACATTAACACGTGTGTGTACTACATGTACACACACGTGTTGAATAGGGGAAGATCGGATTTTTGGAAATATATACAGACACACATATATATATATATATGTCTATATATATTCCCAAGAATCCGTATTTGTACATATACGTAAATATATGTATATATTTATATATATATTTATACATATATAAATATTTATATTTATATATGTATATATATATATATTTCTAGATAGATATAAAGAGAAATTCAAAAATGTTCCCTTTGTAAAAAGCTGTTTAAAAGCTTCTTCATCGCCTCTTAAAGAAGCTGGACAAAATGTATTGACAAAAATACTCTGTAGCAATATAAACTTAGTTCAGAGTCGTTTAAGCCATTTATGAATAGAAATTTGATTCTCTTTAGTTTTGTTTTTTTTTACACTATCCTGAGTTATTAGTTTTACACACGGTTAATATAAGTCAAACAGCGATAAACCAGCAATGTGTACTGACGACACTGAACACCTCACAACTTCCAGTACTCCCTGACAACGGCCGTGGATTTCAAATTGTGCCACAGCACGACGTTAGTTTAAGACAAAAAAAAAAACCAAAACCCAACTATTGCTTGATTTACTGAGTCGCTAAAACTTCTTTTTCCTGGGGAGTTAATAGTCGCAATCACTAGTTTCAGGTCTTTAGTAAATCATTTTCTAAAAGAAGATGAACGATAAAAGCATTCAAAAAACGATCTGTCCCGAGCTGCAGGCAACATCTGTCGGTGAAAAACACATTCTCTAAACGGCAAATCCCAGGGTTTCAACAGATGAAACATGAAAAACACTTCTCAACGTTCTGCTCAGCAAAGAGGACCACAGGACAGTACAGTATGTGGGGTGTTCTACGGAACAACATATATATATAAATATATACATATATGTAATTGCATATGTTATTTGTTTTTTTTTATTAAAAGTTCAATCATTATATGTTTTTTTTTATTAAAAGTTCAATCATAACTCGTCCTCATTGTCAGTTCTTACACCGACGACTTGTGATCTAAGACTGAGTACCAGGTGAAGCAAATGTATTTACTGCAAAACAAAAAGTACTACTACAGTATTCTTAATGTTCTAAGTTTTGTGGGCATTTAATCCAGGCTTTGATACATTTTAAAATGTAACTTTATATATATGTATCTATATATTTATTATATATATATTTATGTATATATTTATATAAATATATGTAGTGTCGTAAATCGTATGTGTCAAAACAACAGAGAAACTTCACATACTGTACTGAACCCCTGCTGTCTGGGACATTGGAACTTGTCCACCTTGACATACGTATTAGGTGATGTAACCTGAGGGTCGGGGTGCAGCCTGTGGGCTTGTCTTTGAAGGAGTGGTTGGTTCAACTGCTGGCCCTGACTAGACTAGGTGTGCGTTTGTTCCTGGAGTGTTTCAACAATGGGTTGAACACAGGGAGTAAAGTTACTTCAGGGGATTTACAGAAAAGTCAGAGAATGTTTTACAGCCATGTGTAAATCAAGTTCAACTGCTTCAACGTTTCATTTTCTCCCCCTCAAAGGAACAGGACATAACTGCACGAAAGTGTCGTCACATGACTGAACCATCGTTCACAATATTTTCCTTCACACAGTGATGAAAAATGATGGTGAATTTTTTTTCTTCTCTATTACTGTATCTTCATATCCTATTTTAAATGCCCAGAACAAAGTCAAGTAAAACACACGGAGGAACAATTTTACACATGCTTTACAAGTCATTAAAGGATAAAAAACAAAAACAAAGTCTCATAGTTAAGTTTAGCACCTGTACAAAAAGTAAAAATGATGAAAAAAAAATTAATCAAGAAATAAAAAAAATAAAAAGAAGAAGAATGTCCGGTGCGGGGCCAAACGTTCCTCCCAGCCTAACAGCCGCTCTGGTACAGATATGCTGAGCTGCAAACTTACCATCGAAACAAATGTAGAATTAAAACGTAGAAATCAAACAGACAGGATACTTCTTTGATGCACCAGCGCCCCCCTGTGCCACAAAACACAAGCAGAGAAAGTGCTACCAACAGCTGGTGGGGACGGAGCGGCGGCCGCTCCTGTTTCTGAATGAAGTCTCTTTAAGTCACTGACAGGAAGTGGCTGAATGGGGGGGTGCGGGGGGGGGCTTCCCTAGGAGACGCTGGAGCAGCGGATGCTGGGGGAGCCCATCTGTGTGAGCACCTTGTCCAGCCACTGCAGGGGGCCGTTCAGGTGCAGCTCGATCCAGCAGGGGGTGCTGGTCACCGTCTGTCGTCTAGCAGGCGGACAGAGAGAGAGAGAGAGAGAGAGAGAGAGAGAGAGAGAGGAGAAACAGATGTGAGGACATGGTGAGAGAGGGAGAGTTTTGGTTCCAAAGACAAGTTTCAACAAAGTCCAGGAGTGTTTGTTTCACTCCTTTACAGAGTGACACCAGAGTGAGGTTCACGTCCCGCTCCACAGGTCAGAGCTCGTGCACTTTTCTAGAACGTTCCTGAATCTTTTCCCCCAGGTTTTTTCCAGCTCTTTAAACCTTTAAAGGTTTGGTGAGGGACAATTTGGATTCAGGACGTTGGCGTCAGTGAAACACCGCTCTTTGGAGTGAGTTTTTTTTTTCATCATAAAACAGTTGAACATTAGGAATTAATACACCAATAAAAACACATCACGTGACACGTGGTTCCCTGAGTTAGACTCTGAAGTTCCAAAGTGTGTTTTCTAAGACTTATCTCACACACAGTATTGCAACACACACTGTTACACTGTGTGGGCGTCAGTGGGGGTGACTGGGGGGGGGGGTTCATTCTATAAACTGCGCCTCTATCTTTTTCTTTTAGTATTTTTTGAGTCTTTATTTCTTTGACTTTAATGTTTGCAGATGAGTGGAGACGATACCTTTGTCTCTTTTATGAGCTTTTCTGTTCTATTCTACACTGATTTTTATTCATGAGGATTTTGGAACGCAGGGAGAACCTCAAGACATTATGAGAAATTATAGAAAATACATATTTACTTAAATAACCTGGCAGAATCTACACAGATCAGTCTGTTTTATTTAACTTCTCTCTCTGGTGTTTTCTGACTTCATTCTAACCACAGCAGCAGCGAGAGCTAATGATATAAACAGAGTCAGCAGCTGTCTGTGCTAACACAGACATGATGGAGCAGAAGGAACAAACTTTTTTTAAATTTTACTTTTTCCTGTTACAATCTGTTCCTCAAAAGGAGAAAGTCTGTGGCTCAGCTGCGTCTCACTCAGCGCTGCCAGGTGTGAGTAAAAGTGTCAAGAGAGCAACAAAAGTCATGTCTGTGGGCCAGCCTGAGGACACAAGGACCACGGAGACAGGGGGAGGAGGACCTGACTGCTCCAGTAACCTGAATCCTGTTTTTAAGTGTGTCCACATGTCTGCTGTGCAGCCGTTTCTCCCCTGTGGAAAAGCTCATGTGGCTTCGACCAATCATCTGCTCCACTCGACTCTGGCCCCTCCCTTTTTACTATCAGTGAGTCAGACCGAGTGGAAAACAGGGTGGGGATGGAAGAGGGAAAGTCTGACATCTCTCTCTTTTTTTTTTTTTTTTGACAAAGCACAAGTGTGTTTGTTTAAAAATAAGTCTTGGCGTGCCAGCCCCGTCCTGTTTTCTACTGACGAGGCCTCAGCAACGTCACATACCGGATTCACCAGAGTGTGAGCAGATGCCTGGGAGCGTGGGCAGAAGGACTGTGGGATGTGATTCACAGTCTGTTTGTTCCTATTGTCTGTGTTTACGTGTGAGCGGGATGAGGACCTGAGGAAGTCTGTGAACTCTGTGAGAGACCGAGGTGAAGGTGGAGGAAAATGAGGGACGCAGCACCCTACCTGTACTCCGCTCCCCAGCCTTTGACAAAGCTCATGCGGATGGTGCACATCCTGGTCAGCTGGTAAACAGCCTCGAAGCCCTGGTTGACTGACTGGGTCAGCAGTGCAGCAAACTCCTGGTTGTTGAAAATCTTCAGGTTACAGCCTGGAGGAAAACACAGGTATTAGTGGTGATAAACATTATTACACTGGAATATCGTGATACCATATCAATATTCAACTGATTTCCTTTTAACAAATTAACAAGCAAATATCCATGGTTTATTTTGGTCCAACAGTTGAATTGTTTAAAAAAACTCAATATATCGTTGTGCCTATAGTATCGCAATATATTGTACTGTTCCCCGTATCGTGATATGTATTTAATTTTTGAAAATGTTTATCTCTTTTTGTCATTTTAGGGGAAGTCTTTTTGACCTTGAATAACAAAAAACAAAAATCAAATTTGAATTGTTCTTAAAAGAGGAAAAAAAAAAGAACTTGACTGTTCTAGTTCAGTTCCTCAGGGGGTGGGGGGGTCTAACGCTGGTGTTTGGTGCGATCATGTGGAATGTTCCGGTACAGGACGGTTGGTTGGTGTTTGACTGTTTTTCTTGCAGCTGTTTCATCCTGGCCTGGTCTGTCTAAAAACTAAACAATGCTTTTTTTTTGTTTTTTTTTCATGCTCCAGTATGAACTAACTACTAACTCTGTTGTGCATCCAGACAAAGACTGTGCTGTGTGTTTATTTACTGCCCTAAACCCCCCCCACTCTGATGTTTGTGTGGGAAACACACTCGTACCTGGAGGGATTTTGCAGACCGTGGCAGGATGCCAGCCGTAGCGCTGGTTACAGTTGGGGCTTTGGACAAAGATGGCGCTGTCACTGAGACACTCGGCAAATACTTCTCCTCCGATGTAGTACAGCCTCACACCACGGCCTTGACGGACAGACAAAAACGAAAAAAGAAAGGAAAAAAAAAATTAGATGAAAATATGAATTTATATCTTCCAAATGACTGACGGCAACAGACGACAGGTTTTACCGATATGTCTGCGTGTTAACTCCACCGACGGGTTCCGGTTGACGTTGGACAACAGCCCGAGGCAGAAACGCTCAGAGTTGGAGGGGTCCGTGAAACCGTCAACCGTCAGCGAGGGCTGCGAGGCGTGGAAGGTCTCCCCTACTCGTTGATTCAGCTCGTAGTATGAAATAGAGCACCAGAAGGCCGGCTCGCAGTAGGTGACTGGCTGAAGGTCTGACGCAGAGAAGCAGAAAAAAAAAAGAAAACGAAAAACTTGATTAGAAAAACTGAGGAAAATTTGTATAAAAAACAGAAGAGTTAGAGCAAGCATGGGCAAACTACGGCTCGGGGGCCGGAGGTGGCCTGTTTGGCTCTGTAATCCGGGCCTACCAAACTTGTCCAAATGATGTTTTTAATTTATATTAACAATATACTTTTGCCTTTTCCCTGCAATGCCTGCATTTCGCCAATAGATGGCGTAGAAAAAAACTAAAAAGCCTTTCTGCATGACTTTTACATGTCATTTATCTTAGTTTACACGTACGCTCATCTATCTGCTCCTGTCAGATTTTAGGACCCATAGTGCTCTGTGAGTCACGCCTGTGGCGAGTTAAAATATAAAATATAATTTAGTGCAGAGCGAGTCACGCCTGAGTTAAAGTGTGGCGAGAAAAATATAAAATATAATTTAGTGCAGAGGAGAAGGAGAAAGAGTGAGAAAAAATATTAGACCGGACTTGCGTCACAAAATCTCAAACCCATACACAGTTTTTCTCCGTGGTCCCTGCCAGACAAAATGTGGAAGCTCTGCCATTAGCAATAGGTCAGTGGAGCCAAGATGGTCAAATTACAGGGCCATCCAAGATAGTTTTCAGTAACATCCACTGATTCTGGTAAAGGGCTCTTTTTTCCCCCTCAACACGTCCACTCTCAAACCACTGCAACATTCTGTGCGGGGCTTTGAAGTCCAGAACAGAGCTGCACTTCGCTGCCAACTGAAACCACTGTGTGATTTTGTTGTTCCTCCAGTGGCCCCGCAGTCCGGCCCTCTGGCTCTATTCCATCTTAATAGAATAAACAGAGATCATTGTCATCGATGTTAACGTTGGCCCGGACTGTTCAGCCGCTCATGTGGAGCAGAGAGGACAAAAGCTTCTTTCATCACCTGTTTTTTTTTTTCTTTTTTTAACAGTATTCCATTTGTGTATAGTTTTGTCTGAGAGCAAGTTCAGAAAAAAAAAACTTTTTTTCAGATCATTTAAATTTCCAGTTGCAGTCATTACAAATTAGAAATAACATGAAAGTTGAATCAAACTGAATCTCCACTTGGAATATACACTAATGCAGGGGTTCTCAAAGTAGGGGGCGCAGAGCTATTGAAGGGGTCAAATTCATTTCAAATTTAATATTTTTTTGTGTCACAGTTCTTAGATAAAAACTAAAACTAATTTAGTTATGTGTGCTAAATGATGACCAGGTCCAGGTCCAGGACTAGGACTAGGACTCGATCAACACAGAGCTGTGGACCTACCTAGGTTGCTGTGTGTTGGTGAAACAGGGTTTGGAGACAGGTTTGGAGAGCTGGTGTCCATGCTGTGGGTCATCTGGTGATCGCTGGTCTCTCCATCCTCACTCAGGTAACCAGGTGGTGGCGTTTCTGAGTAAAAACACAACAACACACAACACAATAAAGACATGTTTCACGGGAGCTGTTCACGTATCCACTGACCCTCAAATACTAGTTCCACCCTCTATGGTTCAACACATTTCACAGGAGCGTTTCACGTATCCACTGACCTTAAAATACTAGTTCCACCCTCTATGGTTCATACATAAATACACAAGTTTGCCAATTAGCCTGAGTACAAATATTAAAACAGTATAAACACAATGTTTGTCTGCGGGGGGTTAGGAGGTCCACTGGGGGGAGCCACAGGGAACTGAGCGGAACAAACAGTACTTGCACAGTCAACAGACGCAGTACTAATGATAGGAACTCAGGAAGTCAGTTCTATAGGGTATACCAGCGATCATCAACTGGTGGCCCACGGACCAAATCCGGCCCGCAACTGCATTCCAAAACAAATATCAAATAATATCTCGAACCAGAATCGGAATCAGAAATACTTCTTTGATCCCCGGGAGGAAGATGTTGGTATTGCAGCTGCAGACCGTTAGAAAAAGAGCAAGAGTAATTAAGACGGGATAAAAGTTTTAGTTGAGATAGAGATGGTATGTTAAGCTCCATATGCTTCAGCGAAACAAAAACACTTCCCCACAGTGTGTTTAAATAACAACACGTGTACACGTGTGGAGGCAGTGGTGGCCTAGTGGGGAGGCAGTGGTGGCCTAGTAGGAGGCAGTGGTGGCCTAGTGGTAAAAGGAAGCGGACTTCGGTCCGGAAGGCCCCAGGTTCGAATCCACCAACTGCCAGGTTGCCACTGAGATGCACTGAGCATGGCATCGTCCTCAAGCACTGCTCCCCGGGCGCCGACCATGGCTGCCCACTGTTCACTTGGTGATGGGTTAAATGCAGAGCTTAAATTTCATTGTGCATGGTGTGCTGTGCTGTGCTATGTCACAAATGACAAATAAAGATAAGTTTAGTTTAGTTTAAGTTTACTGACTGTACATATCAGAGTGAAGAGTGGATTGACAGTGGAAACACTGGATAAACAGTGCACATAAGTGGATTGACGGTGGAAACACTGGATAAACAGTGCACATCATCCTGTGTTAAAATGCCTTGAACATTTTTAGTCCGATTTCACAATTGAAGTAACGTAATAAACGCGTCAACATTGACAAACCTGCTCTCAACACAAAAGTCAAAAACAAATACATTTAACGTACCATTTGCGCAAATATGTTTTGGGTGTTAAATAGCTCCAAACGCACAGCGGCCATTTATAAGAAAAGCCGTTACCTCAGTGTGCGTGTGCGGTGGCTGCAAATGACGGGCAATCGCTTTTCTGAACCTTTCCTTTAAATCACAGGCCTTAAAGAAAGAGCTCATCAATAAACATCAGTGAGATGACACTGATGAGGGGAACGAGTCTGACACGCAAAACACAATATGATTAAACAATTAAAATAATTAGGCTTATAGATCACTACAGTGATTGTTATGGTTAGTGTAATTAACCTGACAGTTCGAGGAACATAAAGCACATCATGCACCGTGAAGACCTGTTGTGATCTAAAGGTCTCCCGCAGTAAACATTGGATCACAGTGTTCATTTCCAAACATCAGCTCAGATCACATCAAAGAGCATTTTGTGGCTCCCGGGGCCACATTTTTCACCAAAGGTTCCACCGTCGGGTTCACGTGACAAATATCAATTAAAATACATCATTGAAATGTGACGTCAATGAGGTTCAATTGAGCGATGCTTGCACGCTAGTCCTTGAAACCTGAATGCTGCAGTTTACCCAGACACAGACGTCTGGATATTTATTTACTCCATTCTGAGCTCTGCTGAAAGAAGGCCATTGAGTTGAGTTCATTTTACTGCCAGGTTGTTTCCCCTACGCAGTTTAGCAATAACTCATGTGGTGCCCTTAAAACTTGACCTCACAAACTTGAACTGGACTGTCACATATTTGCATGATCATGCTGTACTTTGAAATACTATTATATTGTTAATTACAATTCAGTATAAACGAGCTGTAATTCAGTACACATCTTAAGTCTGAGTGAGTACCTGGGATGTAGTTGCTTTGGGGCTCAATCCCAGCTGGGAAGTTGGTGTTTTCAGGGATTGAATGGCTGTAGTCATCAAGTGGTGGGAACTCACTGGGAATCTCTGTGTGTCTGGGCACCAGCACGGGAGGGAGGACTGTGGGATTGAGAAAAAAAAAGGATGTGTGGATAAAAAAATTAAACCATGAAACTTTATTCAAAGCCCTTTACTGACAGAGGAATACTGAGGTGCAGTACCTGGTGTCTCCACTCTCTGGTAGTGGTACGGGTTGACGCACACTTCGTCCTTCTTTGTGTGGAAGGCGTACTCGCACATCTCCACCGCCCGCAGCTCGTGGTGTGACTGCAGGTCCGGCCAGCGCCACAGACGACAGTATATGACATGGGGGAGGCCTTTTCTGTGGGACACCTGGAGACGGCCATCGAGGGACCTGTGGACAGACGGAAGGAAGGAAGTCAGTGGTCCATCGAAAGACCTGACATCTAACAGGTTGATCAACAATGTCAGAAGTTTGGAGGTACGTTAACACCAGAGGCCAACGCAGGCACATGGAGGACACAGTGGACAGACGAGGCCTTTACACCTCACCAGGTCACATTTTTGTTTGTCAGAAGACATCGTTTTCAACTGAAATTAGAGTCAAAGCTCTGCTCACTTTCTGTCCAGCTGGCTGTGTAAACTAGGCAGAAATTTGAATTGGATTTATCATTTTTTTTCCAATATCTTTATCCCATATTTATATACTGTCAAATGTGACGACAGCTTCTGTTTGAAGACATTTTGTGTAAAACAGAAATATTTGTTCCCTTTCCGAGTGATATAGCGTTCTGTTATTGAGAACACAATTAAACCGTCTCTGTCCTCACTGTGGTTTAGGTTAGCTCTCATGTACGAACTGTACGTCTCTCTATCACCGACAGAGCTGTGCCACATTCATAACATTCTCTTATTGTAAACTGCCAAACATTTCTCACTATTAGCAAGTGCAGAATATTTGTACTGTATTGAAAACAGCCTATACGGCTGTACCTATAGCATATATAGGTACAGCCGTATATAATACACACCTACGTAGGTTAGTCTTTGAGGATTTAATCCTGTCTAAATATAGTTTAAAATGTGTGTGACTAATGTTTACAAAAACATGTTTACAAATACAAGCTACTTACAGAATCGCATGCTTTAATGAACCTTTAGCAACGAAACAACAATGGCAGAGAATTGTAGCAGTAAGCAATAATCATGCTCTTCATATTACCATTAGCCATGACTATGAACTATCATCAAGCACTGAATACTGTGTTTACTACTATCATCTGTCATCATCTGCTGACACACCACATCCAGCAGGGAGGGTCCACTAAGCTTTTTGGCATTGGTTGTGGGCTGAGGCCTAAAAATAACTGTTGTCCTGTAACGTGATAACGGCGTATATAACAGGAACTTCATTGTGTTGTATGACTGATCTGCACTCATCTGGTACACAATACTCTTGGCAGTAACTGTGGTTAAGGTTCAGGTCGACACAAGGGATTGTGTCCCATAATCTCCGAACACAATGATCCACGAGAGATGCAACGGACATCGTCTTCTAATGTAAGGGTCGGGGCCCCGAGGGACAGGGGTTTAAGCTTAAGCTCCTCATGAGGACAAATATCGTCTGTGGACTGTCCAACGTCAGAAAGGCTTCTGGTGTCATATCTGGGTCAGCCTTTATGCTGTTTTCAGTTTCTTCAAGGTCAACGCATTTGTTACGTGTCCACGTGCTCTCGCTCGGTCCCGCAAGTGTAGGTTGGTGTTGACTTACGTACAGACAAGCGTGAACTGATGTGCCTTAGCATTCAGTTCAAGAATGTAAAGACGAAGGAGAATAAAAATCTAAGAAAAAACAAACATATAAAGATTGAAGGTTGTCAAGAGCCGGTGAGTTGTATCACGATTATTAAACGGAAATTAAACTCTCTTTAGGTCACTGTGGTCCACGAGGTAAAGGGTTTTTATTGGCAAGAATCTGACCACGAGGTATAATTTACTGTAAAGGGTTTTTATTGGCAAGAATCTGGCGATACGGTACATATCACGATACACTAGCAACAATACGATATACTGCGATTTTTTTTTAAACAATGTAATTGTAGGAAAACAGTCGACAGTAAACAGACAATGCTGTTACGTGCTGTTACTAAAACTGGAACAAAGGCATCTACATTTGGAATCGTGTGATATTACAGTGTATCGATATTTTCTTACACCTCTAATTTGATGGTAAAAAATATTTCCCACTATGATAAAACTGTACGTTTTTAAAGGCCAACTCTGACCTAAGATTAGAAATTGAATCACAATTGAATCAAGTTCGGAGTACAGAGTCGTACTAAATAAAAACTGAATAATCAAACAACTGCACCAAAGAAAAAAAGCATTGGCTAAAAGACACGACTCGACTGTGAGACCAGTGAACCAAGTCTTCTCTGATATCTGGCCAATGGATACAAAACCCTGCTTAGCCGTTTGTATTTTCTTTTGGAAGCATCTTGAGCCCATGCACTTCCCTCTGGTGACTCATATCTATGAGTGAGTGTTTACAAAGAGCTTCCTGAGCGATCACTGTTTCTCTTTTCTGATGCAATTTTCCTGTTTTTTAAAAAAAAAACGAAAAAAATGAAGCCACATTTTTGAGTCAGTTTCTTTTTACTTTGAGGCCAAACTGAGCGGAGAGTTTCTGTGACTAATGGATACGAGTTTGTTACAAGATAAGTCAAGCATGACAAACACGAAACTGCAAGTATTGTTTTTGTTTTGTTTACAGTAGTACGACAGTACAGCAACAGTTCACACAGGCAGCTGAAAAAAAAAATATGAATCAGGAAGGAAGTAGTCAAACAGTCATGATGCCACGTAGGAAACATATGAAAAATGCATTTGCAGAAAGGAAGACGGATCAGATTCAGGCCCGGGGTCGGTCCAGGCCGCTGTGGGAAGAAACATATTTTATCATTCACTGTGAATACAGTAACTCTGTATCCACGAAAACAAAGAGTTACGCAAACAAAAAAAAAGGGGATAATAAAATGACTGCAGTCTGTAAAAATGTGAGAGAAATAAGACGATAAATTATTAACTGGTCAGACAGACAGGGCTGATCTGATGTCCGTGGTATGTGTGTGAGGCCCGTGCTGCTGCTGAGTGGGTGTTTGGTGTGGCCCAAGTCTGTGTGGGCGAACAGACTCACACACACACACACACACAGACACACACAGAGACACGGACCTCGGTGACATGACTGACTGCTTGCTCTCCTACTTCTATGGCCTCGTCTTTGTTCGTCTTCTTCCAGTCAGTGTTTTCAGTGAGCAGGATTACAGTAATGATACGGCCCGAGGTGTGACTCACACGAACGAAAGTAATAACTGAGCAGCATTGTATTAAAGGGTGACTAACAGCCATGAACAGGACTCTTTACTGCAGTAACAATGACCCGTGTCAACAGTCTCTTCTCGTCCCCTTCCTCCTATCACACTCTTGACTATTCAACTACAGCGACTCGTGTTCTACTGACTGTAATGTCATTGTGAAATCCACACCTTAGTCCAGTCTAGACATGACCCACGTCACACACACTTACACACCTCAATGGAGTTTGGAAATATTTATTTTCAGGGTCAAACAGGTGCTCGTCCCAGAACAAACACAGGTGACACCTGGGGCCTATGGTCCAATTAACATGAACATTAAAACCGGGGATCGAACTGGTGACCCTAACACCTAAAGGCAAGAGCAATTGCACATTTTCCAAAGGTTTGTAATTTAAAATTAGAAACTATGCAAATTTAATACTTTTATTAAATCTCTAAATTGATAATTAAAAAATTGCCAACTGTAAAGAAATGGTGGCCCTAAAAAAACAACTTCTGAGCCTTTGATGTAGATGCTGCATTCATGGACTGCGTGATATTTGCCAACTCAGGCATCAATGACCCTGGAGCAGTCTAATCACCTTCTGACTGTAGCCTCTGTATCAACAGTAATTTGACTTCAGAGTTTCTAACCCGGATGCTTCTCTGGATACAGTACAACCAGGAATCAAACCCAGAACCTTCTACCTGCCTCAATCACTCCAGCTGTTCCCCAGAATTATACTCAGTTGAAGGTCTTCTTATTTAACAAACATAACAAACAGCAAACGTCAAAATAAATTAATTAATTAAAAAACCTGACACATTCAACCAAGCCGTCGGGTCAAACGCTCACAGTCGTCCGACTAAACTGAATGACTCACTTTATTGATGAGATTTAGGACGAAAAACACCAGAGGCCGTCACACAAGACATTAACATGATTTAAAGTCTACAGTCCAACAACTACGCCACAGGGAGGGGCACAGAGGACCAGGACCAGGACCAGGACCAGGACCAGGAGACTTTAAGGACCAGAGTGCGTCCTTTCATCTGGGTTATAATCTTTAATAATCATAGTAGCGATAAACGTTGACACTCAGAGTCACACCTCCACACTGTCAGCCGATCAGCTGAATTCCCTAACGGGTATATTTCTGGTAAACGGTCAGAAAAAACCTGGTGTAAAAACCCACACACTCCTAAAACACAGGAGTTTTTGCTGCTGGAACAGTCTTCTGTCTCAGGACTTCTTCACATTGTCAGCGTTAAAAAAAAAACAGGGGCAGTGGTTAAGGAAGCGGACTTGGGTCGGGAAGTCTTCAGGTTCAAGTCCTCCAGCTGCCAAGTTGCCACTGAGGGGCTCTGAGCCATGACAAATAATTCACTTTCAGCTGTTCCAGGTTGGGGCAATTTCTAACACTTCTGGTCAAACGATACAGGGCAACTCACCGATCTGATTTTTCAAACATTTCAAAGGAACTCTTTATGAGTTGGACAAAAACATCAATTTTGAATCCATTTGGTAAATTTAGATTTTTTTTGGTTTGTTTTTGTCCTTTGTTCATTCGTCAACATCAAGCTGTACAGTGAGTGTTAACATGTTGACAAATTTACCTAAAGACAGATCTTTCGATGACTCATCACAGACGATCTCGATTGACTTCCTGACAGACATTTCTCTGTCAAGAGACACTAAGGGACAAACTGATGTTCAAAAACAAAGAGGACAAACTGGTATGGATTTTTTTTTTCTTGGTTGCGGAGGGAAAAGTGTCGACATCATCGTGTGCCATGAGCTGAGGCTAAACCTGACCTTTGCACCCAAAACAGCCGGGACCTTTGTGTGTGTGTGTCAGGGAGTACACTCACCACACACACCAACACACACCAACACACACACACAAACACACAGAAACAGAGTGTGAGGCTGGAAAATAAAAAACTGTATAAGAATGTGTCACAAATTGAAAAGGATTGCAGTAGTGAGTTGCATTCATGAGTATTAGACAGTGGTAGTACACAAATATTTAGA